TCGAATCTCGGTAGTTCATCCCGTCTTGTGAAGAGCCATGCATTCAACTTCCACTCAAAATCGTTGTGCGATTGCGGTCACGATTCGGCGTAGAAACAGCTGCAGGGTACAGCTACAGATCTTTCCTCATACCTCTCCCGTCAAACAAGTCTAGTAGTAGGTAGTCAATTTCAGAGGAATGGCAGCCTTGGTTGTTCGAGCTCGGAATAAGGGTCGACCCGACATCAGACCTCCATTCCGTGGCGTAGTGAGGGGCGTTATTACCCACTATCCCTACTCGCCTGCATCTTCTACTGGACTTAAGTAAATAATGGTGTGAGCCAACCAGTTCAGAACGTAGTAAATGACCGTAATGGGCTCACTAAAATGTGATCTAAAGACAGCCCCCGCGCTCAAGTAATTCATGGTCGTCCTTCCTTGTGGAAATAGTCCCCTTCTTATTTTGCGTTTAGCAAACATGTGTGAACGGTTGTCGACACCGTAGATTAGATCGGCGTCAACTTTGGCCCAGTTTAGCCAGCAACTAAGGCTACATAAAGCAGATCTTGTGACATAACAAACAATGGAGAGCCTGCCACGAACAGGCCTATTGGCAAGGGTAATGAGGTGCCTGGCACTCATCAAAAGTCTCGCATGTGCCACGCCCGGAGCTTCTATTGAGAATAAAATGACTGTGGAGGCGAAATCGCGTATAAAAACTGGCTTGTAGGGATAATTCTGTGTCTAAGCGTGTTGTCCTTGTGTAATTTTTATCAGGGAGGGACGCATGTGAACTGACGGAAAAAAAGAAAAAGACGGGTCTTAATTTTTTGACCGGCTTGTTGAGAGGTTTGTTAGGTGCCTAAGTTTTTCGAGAATGGGATCAGGGACTATTGACTCTTGGGCAAAGGAACATCTCCCGTCGACAAGAACTTTTGATTGGAGGCAAGGGGAAGGAGGGATATAGGTGAAGCGGGACTTTTGAGTCTATGCGGAGTGTGAGAAAGGATGTGCAATGAAGGGCCAAGTTTCTTTATTGCTTTCACGTACCCTGCTTGAGTAACGTATTTGGCGGCCACCCAGGGTACAGCATCATTCTGTGGAGCACATAGGGGGTCGTACTTTTCCGCCGGGGAGGGGAGTCGTATTTGATCGTTGCTGGGAGAGGGGGCGTATGTGGCTTCGAGAGAAATCTGGGGAATATTGGTGGACGCGTGTCCGGGGAAAAGTGGTAAGACTTTTTGGGAAAGTCTGAGAAATTTTCCCGTTTCACAATGGCTACATACCCCCTTCCCCTCCTTTCCCACTCCTCTTCTCGACGGGATATTTTTGGATGAGAAAACTGCAGAAAAATCGGTGGGAAACTGGTCATGTAGGATGCTGGGAAGGCTGTCTTACCGCGCACTGATCACGAAGTGTACCCTGCCACTTTTTCTTTCCAAACGCGTGCCTTTTTGCAACCATGCCGAGTTCCTGCCGAAAAAGTTCTGCTGGCAGCCACTGAGCTGCCCCTTGAGATTTCCGCCTCTGGTATGAACCCCTCTCCTTATTCTCCATCCTGCCCACCATCTTCCTGGACTCTCCACTCAAATTCCTACCTCTTTTCGAGGAAGAAACGGAGAAGTCAGCAACGCAACCAAACATCTCTTTCAAGTGAAAATACGACCCCACTCTCTGTAGCAAGCAGATACGACCTGCGCTCGCAGGGATTCCCACGTAAAACGCTCCGTCTGCAATCCTTCGCATATCCATCATCTCGCTCGCGCATTTCTTGCATCCACTTGATCAAGTGGCGAAACTTTTTCGAATCCCGTACAAGGTAATAAGTCGTTGTCAAAGGGGGATCGCTAGGGCGGTCGGTCGAAATGGTATCAAGATTACACTACAATTAGGTCGACGTTGTGAATACGTTCACAGGTCGTCGGAGGAAAAAAGCGAAATTGAGTTTTGCGCTCGGGAGAAATCAAAACAACGCACGATCATAGCAGACGATTACGAAGAGTGATGGAGATTCAGGATGGAGTTCGAAAGTTCGTTCGAAAAGTTCGAAAAAAGTGAAGGAAAACTTAATATTCGTGAGAACTGCCAGGCCCCCGTTCTAATTTGAAAAATCGAAAAGGGATCGAAATTTCGATACATTAACGCGCAGACTGCGTAGAATACCCGTAAAACGTGGCTGGCAGAAGCTAGAGGTACGTACCTGGACAGCGCTGGACAGCAGGCTCTCACTGGACCGCATTGCCGTTCAATACGTCTCTCGACACCTGTGAAACAATGCGTTGGTACATAGTTGATGGTACGGCCATACGAAAACCGTGACGCCGTCTGCAGCGTCCTCATGTCACAGTTCCTACTCTGAAAAAAAACGCTATTTGTTCATGTAATGGCGTCAAGCGCCTCAAAGGATAATATCGCAATTTTGAAAGCCATTCCGAGGGAATTGCCTCGAGGCGGTGTTTTATTTGATTAATTTGGCTTTTCTCTCATGTTCTAATGTTGCCAGAAACGTTCTCGGCCAGGGAAGATATTTACCTCACAAGCCGTTGAAAAGAAGTAGGAAATATTCGATGAGCTACTAATGGAAAATAAGTGAGCCGGTGGTTCTCGCAGAACGGCGGTAAATGGCGAAAGAACAAAGTGAAACGTAAAAAAACCTGCGGAGAAAAGCTTTCTCAACGACTCAAAAAGTGATTTCGGACGAGTTTTCCGTAGGCATCTTGCCAATAACCGCTACGGTAGGTACGGCTGCACGTATGTACTCATATATCCATGCAGCACCGCGGCCGCTTCATATCAATCCCTTCGCTTCATATTTTACTTAGCAAATGAAGCAATACGAGCATCAGGTACGGTCGTCCATTTGTGGGCGGGCGGGCGTGATGGGCGTTCGGCTCGGTATGATGTAGCTTGATAGGGCCCTTATGAGGATACCTTCCTTTTGGGAAAGGGCGCTGGCAGCGCCATAATCAGGCGTCGCCTGAATTCCGTCCTGTCAGACGTCATCCAGGTCTACTCGTAAAATTATAGGCGACAATTATCGGTGAGCAAAATCGCCTGATAACCAGACAAGGAGAAATTAAGATGTGTAAGACCAAGTGCGCACCCACCGCATGACAAGTTGAGACCAGGGTGCACCGTTCTAGGAACGAGACGGTAGGGCTGAATTACAGAACCAAACCCAAAGCGAAAAAAAAACCTGCTGCCAATACGACTTCGAGTACTGCCTCCCCTACTACGGAAACACACACAAAAGATCCCCCCGCATAATAACACCTACTACCCACCATATCCGAACACACGTTTCTACGAACAAAAAATCCCAGATAATATCAAATTGAAATTAAAGGAAGCACCCAAAAACTTAGCCCCCTCAACGAGGCAGACTCAGACGCAGCGCGCACAGCCCTCACACCGTAGCAACCATTTCGAAGTTTCAAACCTACAAAGAAACAATGCTCGACGAGGCATCTCCTTCCAAAAACCACCAAAAACGGATACCCTCTCCTGCCCCAGCGGCTGAAGTAGGCGAAACTCCCCAGACCCAGAACCC